TAATTAAATAAATAAAACTTATAATAGTTTTTATACCCTATTCTTACGTGAAATCAATTATTTACTTTTCTACGAGTATTGCATGAATAGAGGGAACAGAAAAACCCGTAATAATAGATTCAATTAAGTGATGAAATATATAAATAAAGTGATCGTTTAATTGAGACATACCTTTGACTCGGAATACGGTTTGGTTTTGTGGTTTCGATCCGATCCGGAAGAAGGAGATCGTCTCCTATGGCGGTCACTCTTAGAGTCGCTATTTTTACGATTACTTCGAGAATCGTAATGAGAACTGTTATTAGAAGAACTATCGGAACTCTCGCTATCACTACTACTTCTGGAGTCGTCCGAATCGGAGTCGGAATCAGACGACGAATCGCTGTATTTACTCCGTTTTGAGGACGACTTGTGTCCTCGACTTCGTTTACTACTCTTTTTACTCTCTTTATTGTGACTGCGTTTCGATTTTGAGGACTTATTTCGGGATTTCTTTCGGGAAGAACTCTCGGAATCGCTATCAGATTCGCTCTCAGATTCTGAACTATCTTTACGTGAAGAATGTTTTTTGTGTGATTTCTTTTTTCTATCACTTTTACTCTTCTTGTCTTTGCTTTTAGTCTCAATTTTGTCAACTTTGGGCTCAATTTGTTTGGGAGAGTCGGGAATAATAGCGTACTGTTTCTGTTTGAGGGCCTCTTTGGCCGCCGCCTCCTTTGCCTTACGGGTCGGGTCGAGAGACGAGCCTTCAATAAACTGTGTACTGATTCTCAACGCATTCTTCAGATTATCGTTCTTCTTGTGGTTCAATTCGGCCAATTTGTGCGTCTCTTTCAAACTATTCATTATTTCAATCAATTATTAGTTAAAACCAATTATAATAAGTTATTATTAATAATCAAAAACATATACTCATTGAAATACTAAATCGGTACAAGAATAAAAATTTTAAAAATATTTCTATATTTAGAAAATATAGCAAAAAATATCAAAAGAAATAATAAAAATTGTGATAATTTGCTTCAATAGACACCAAGAAATTGGACACAAATCGACAAATCATTCAAATAAACAGATAATAAATACATTCAATGAATGAAATGAAACGAACTCAACAAATGATATCAATTTGAATGAATGAATGCATAAAATGGTAATGAAATGTAAATCAAATTCAGACAACCATTCCTTACCTCACAATACTTTTAACTCTCATTTGAAGGTTTGTCTCATTACTGTTACTAAAAACGCTATTTTGTTCATACAATTGGTTTAATCGCTTGTTTTTATTACGCTTACGACGCCTTCGCCGGCGATAAGCGTTTGTCATCTTAAGAGTCGGCATATTATTAAATGGTAACTGAAGTGGAAATGCATTGCATTTCATGGAAGACTCGATTGTAGTCAATGTGGAAGAAGTGGATGGCAATGACAATG